AAAAAAATGGCAGACAAAAAAAAATGGCGGACAGCCTTGCTTGGCGACCCCCGTGAAATGGTCGATCGACCCCAAATGGGGTCCCGACCCACAGGTTGAGAACCACTGATTTAGGAAATCAAACCAATGTTGGAAATTGGCCTTTTGCATTGCAATATGTTAGCTTTTGATTTAGGTTTTTAAAATTACACTAATTTTTTTTTTAAAAACAACAACATTGAACCAACAACTGATATCAAATGAAGCCTGGAGGATGCTAAATGAAGTGCTGCTTGACACACTGGGTCCTGGATCTGAGAACCCAGGCCTGCATTATTGAGCCTATACTGGAGTTTTAAACAGTGCTGATTTCTCCACTATAGTCACATGAAGGATCATTCAGTCATTCATTCATTTTCAAAGTTTAGAGGTCACCCAACTCTGAAATTACCACAGGGCGGCTTATTCTAAAAATAGTTAACAATAAAAGAATAACCGTGGAAAGTAATTTCAGGCATCCTCAAATACACACCTGCAAATTGTAAGCACAACCAACTGGGCTTCACAACACCCTACAACTCAAAGGACTTGGAGAACAGTCAAGTTTTTAAAGACTTCCAAAGCATGATGAGATATCATTCCAGAGCCTTGGATACTCTTTTCCAGACTTTAACTGCTGGTCTGGTAATAACTAGTCATTGGTCAACCAACTGACTTCTATTTTTTAGTTGTCCCTTCCATCTCGTAGATTTTGGCCATAGAAATGGAGCAGGTACTGACAGCAGTTCCTAGCATATGGATGGGACGGTGCTTCTTGCCTTCTCTTCGAAGAAGCTGATTGGATTGGTAGTTGATGGGTTGTCATTCTCCTCCAACATCTGAGGAATCTGGATTTTAATCCCCATTACAGGAGATCCACCTGAAGAAGTCTAGAGGAATTGCCCTGGGATCTACCACTGGCACCTCAAGAGACTGCTTCTCTCAATGTAATAGATGCTAATTCTTGTGGTTGGTACTGGGGAATTAAGCAATGGTTAATTACACCCCAAATGCTAATCATCGCTAAAGGAATGCCTTGACCACCAGGCATCCTTTCAACTGGATCCTCTCCCAAGCAATTTGATATGATTAAAATTGTATTTAGAATGACCTTTACAGGGAATAAAAATAGTTTTCTTATTTTGATTGCCATCTTTCAAGAAGAAAATATGTTATTAGGGCTTGGATTTTAAGTTCGCTGCTGTGAAGGTAACAAAGATTCACTGATAAAATCCAGCTCCCCGTTCTATACTTTTGGTTCATGGAACTCTATGATTTGATAATTGGAGACTTTCTGCATAAGGGAAGCCAAGAGGACACCATCTATTAGAAGAGGGAATCCCAGACTCTGGGTGACAAATCACCCGGGGGGGGAGGGGTCATGAGTAAAACTGAGAGGGATTGCAAAAACTATAGCTTATCAGAGGATGTCCTCTCCACTTACATAGAAAACTTAAGATGAGGTCAAGAGAACACCTGACTGCAGTTTCTAGTGGTTTTCGTAAGTGCAATTAAGAGAAAGTTTTAATAACGTTAAAAAGTAATAAGATATATAAAATGGAATTCGAGACTGAACCACTATATGCAAATGATAAACATGTGATTGCTAAAATGTATAAATTTTTGTTGAGCTTTGAAATTGAAGAACAAGTTAAAGAATGTATGATAAAATGGGCTAGGAACCTTGGTTATAATATACAATATACAGATGGGTCAATGGGAAAGAATGTATAATTTAAGAGAGAATTACTATAAAATGATGTAATGTTGGCATATGATACCAGAGAAATTATGTAGGATGTAAAAAGGTACTTTTAGTCATGAAGGGACATTTGGTAGACTTGAAAAAGCAAAAACATATTGGATATAAATACATATAAAGATGCAAAGAACTTTAAAAATTAATATTCAGATGAAACCAGAACTTTTTTAAATTGGGGCTTATGGATAGCCAATTATTAAAAAAGACTCACAGAATACTGGTTTTGTATATGGTATCTGTAGTAAGATTATTAGATGCACAATGGTGGATAAATATTGAAACATCCTCAGTGGAGTATTGGACTGTGAAGATGGCAGAATTTGGAGAAGTGGCAAAACTGACCTGTTTGGTGAAGGATAAAACAATAAGTACTTTTATAAAGGACTGGAAACTTTTATGACTTTTTACTGAAAATGGGAAAAAATGACACGGTGATTTCTGAATTTGCTGATTAAAAAGGGTTCAGTATGGGGTAGAAGGGAACTTTGTAATATAATCTTAGAGAGGGAGTAGAGATACTAAGTATATTTGTAACTGATGTAAAGAAGATGAAAAGTCACTTTTTTTCTTTTTTTTTAATCCGTATTGTTTTTCCACACTTTTTTCTTTTTCTTAACTTTTCTTTATATACAAAACAATTTTTTCTGTATTCTTTATATTAAACATACAAGCAAGAGCTGGTCTATCATTGTTCTATCTAATATACAGTCATTTAATTATTAAATATATTTATTTATTTCTCATCCATAACTTCAATGAAAAACTATTTTTTTTCCAGAGAAGGATTGATGTCACACTAGTTCATTTATACTTTTAAAGGGTCATGACACTTGGAGTGTTTGAGAATAAAAACTTTTTCCAAAGGACAATAGAGATATAGTACAGTATATAGCAAGGTCTGTAGAAGGGACTCAGCCTTGAATGGATTACATTAACAAGGCTACTGCCCTCTTCTGGACTGAATGTATTACAACTACATTTCTTCATATTTAAATTGAATTCTTGGAATCAAAGTTCAGATTGCCCATAAAATTTAAATGGAACTAATCAATACTATGATTGTCCCAACTGAAAAATTTGTTATCTATGGGACTTAGTTTCAGTAGTATGAGAGCATCTGGCACCTGGTATTTCCACGTTGCCAAAGAATCCGAACTTTTATAGTTACTCTGAACTCAGATGTTTTCACCTACATGGGCACAAAATAAGGCCTTTGAAAACTGTACAATTCGTTCAACTAAAAAAAGTGTATAAGCTGTTTAAAAAATAAGACTGCAATACCCACACAACATATGAAGAAACACAAATCTATGCCGTTAACAAGTTAGAAGTTGAAATAGCACAACAATTTAACATTACAAAAGTCAGCATCAGATTAAATCATTAAAAACCCTTCTGGATTACTGTCTGAAAAATAGTATGTTTCCTGACCCATCTGAAACCGGACTTTCCTAATGTAAAGGATTTCTGCTGATCCCAGCTTTACTGAGTCCTGCCTGAAGGCCTGAATCTGGCATATGTTGTCTCAATGCACCTTTTATTAAAGTTTTTTATGAACCCAACAATGACATCAAACAATTTCTAGATTATAATTATTATTTAAAAGATCTCTCAAATAAAAAAATGTTTATGTATTCTTCAAGCATATTCAACAAATCCATTTTTCAATCAAGCAGAAAGTAGTACCCTAATCCAGGAACTACCAAAGAGAAAATTAGACCCACCAACATAGGCAGGGCAAATTATTGTATATAAACCAAGGGTAGTCAACCTTGGCTCTTTTATGACTCGTGGACTTCAACTCCCAGAATTCCTGAGCCAGGAATTCTGGGAATTGAAGTCCACGAGTCATAAAAGAGCCAAGGTTGACTACCCCTGATATATAAACAGAGACCAAATTAATCATTCCCTTCTAGCACTGATGATGTCCCCTAGTCTGGTAATGAAACGCCTACAAGCCAACTACCAAGCTCAGAGAGCATAAAGGACTCCCCATCCATTTTTCTTTTTAACAAACACATCTATTTCTGCACTGTACTTAAGGAATAATGGATGAGGGGAATACCATTAATATATGCCCCAAATCTATACAGTTCTTACTTAGACAGCCTGCTTTTTCAGTGGGGATTATTACCTGTTAATTATGTGTAAAGTTGCAATGGCATTCAGTTTATACATTCCTTAATGAACGGTTAATGTCTCTTTCCACATATTCTTTTGCATAAACTAAATTCCTGAAGAGAGTCACTATTTATAGGTGCTTTGTCTCTGAGTTCACAAATTGTGTTCAACAATGGTTTGTTTAACCCTCGTCTATTGAATATATCACAGTCATTTTGGCTCATACAAAACCAAACAGAACAAATCCCAGCTTAGCACAGTTGGTGAATCAAATCTAAAAAGGAAATCAGAGTGATAAGTATTTCTGCTGTTTTAAAGGATATAGAGGTAGCAAGGATCTAGATTTTTTAGCAAAAGGCCAGCTAGTTTCTTAAATCGGCTCACGTGTCCAGCTGATAAAACAAGACGACATAATTAGAAAATATTAATATTCCCTATAGGAAATGACATGGTATTCATTCCAAATATGTAACTTCTTTTTTGAAATATCATGCCTAAAATTGTACATTTTATCTCAGCTACCTTTTGTCTGATCAACATGATGAGCTCATTTTGAAACATATGAGTACAAATTGCCTTCAAATGGTACTGGTGAGAAGAATCACTAAGTATAAGCATCTGAGGACTCATAACGTTTATTGGATACATATCTTCATGTTTAGTTTTTTATATAGTTGTATATGGTCAGTGACTGAAACAAAATTTGAATTTGAATAAGAGGAGATTAAGCTGCAATCCTACAATCTGAGAAGCATTAAATGAGAAATCTGATTTTCCAAATCTACTGGTCTTCATTTCCATCTCATTGGCAGAAAAAACAACAGTAAAAATGATATGGAAAAAAGAGACGGAAACATTATTCTTTCCTTCATCCCTCTGACTATACCATGTTTAACCTACGAAAGGTCCTAGAAGCAAAATTGAATGGTACCTTGAGGGGAAAAAAAACTGCCCTATGCAAGGATTAATAATGGATTTTGAAGAACAGTTAAGAAAGATTAAAAAGAGAAACAAATCTATTAGATTGATTGAAGGTAAATTGCTTGCAAATATCAAGCTATAGAGAAATTAAAGGCACAACTGGAAGAAGTGCAGAACAAAAGTTTGGGGAAAACCTGATCTTAAGTAAGGCTAGTCATCTGTTTAAGATATACTGGATTCAGTTTCAACCTCCAGCGCTTTGAAAATCTCTTTAATAGATTGGGGATCTCTTGAACTGCATGCAGTCTGGTGACAAAGAAAGGATTACCTGAAAATTAGGTGGGGAGGGTAGCTTTGGTGTGAGGTACTTTCAGTGAAGTACAAAGAAAACTTTGGCTGTCAATTAAAAAAGAGTAAATCTAAAATTCCTATTGAAGAAATACTTTTATTAAAGTAAATGGGATTGAAGGTATAAAAGAAAGTCCATAATGTCTTTAAAAGGCAAGCAAATTTAAAATTCCAAGTTCTGTTGTTGGAATTATAATATCTGGTTGTTTCCAGGCAGAATGAATAGAATCCCTGTGGGTCACAAATTAAAGGAGAGGGGCAAGTATAGGCAAAAGGAAACCAAAAACAAAACAAAACAGGTTTCTTCCTTCATATACCGTAATCTATATGTAGCCCTGTAATTTGGGGCATAATTAAGACCTACGGTATATAAGGTAGACAAAGACAAGATTCTCCTCTTTCCTTTTATCTATTATTTATCTATTGGGTATAAATCATTAAGAATATAACACAGTAAGGGATAACAAATGCTGACTTGTGTTCTCTCTCATGCATATACATTCAGATACATACAGACATGCACACTTCCCTAGGAATTTCTCTCTCTCTCTGTCTGTCTGCTCTTTCCATAGGAGCTGCTGTACCAATGAAGTTAGAATAAAATTATCCAACCGATTGAAAGGTTTACCTGGTCCAAAGAGCAGAAAGATGAATAAACAGTAGATGTCCATCACTTTTCTTCTTTGATATAAACACTTGGGCATCCAAAGTGCTCAAGATCCCGGCTGAAATAAAACTTTGCCTTTTTTTTTTTTTAACAAGGGTGCTTGGAAACAGGACCACAGAGCTATTGTTTTACAACACCTGCTTATGTGGATGGGCAGCTGAAAGCCAGCATGTCAACTGGAAGGAGGTACAGTCTATTTTTGACAAGCCAACAGGAACCGTCTATTTTTGACAAGCTGAAACTCAGAACAGTTTTTGTCTAAGTTACACATCCCGTGGCTATAAAATAATAATAATAATAAAAGATGTCCATTTCCCCAATACTCCTAGTGCATTTGTCTTGCAGTAAATGACATTAATTTCACCAAACTTTCCTTCTTTAATGACTTAAAATGTTAGCTGTTAGCCAGGTTCCTTTTGAACAGATCCATGCAAACATTTGGGCAAATCCTAACCCTCGTCACATGGCTAAACCTGCCAGTCTAGTCACCCACCAAAACTCAACTTCTCCCAACCTCATCCCACATAAAAAAAAGAATGAATGATTGATGTGTTGATGCCTGTTGGAAGGGGCAGGAACAAAGCTGAGGAATTGACCAATCTCTTTCTTTAACTTGCCATATATCAGTGGTGGCGAACCTATGGCACGGGTGCCAGAGGTGGCACTCAGAGCCCTCTTTGTGGGCACGCACACCGTCGCCCCAGTCCTAGGTCTTCAACTGGGTTTTATAAAACCTTTTCGCTTTAGGCCTCCGCTGCCGTGTGCAAAAAAAAAAAAAAAGGTTCAATCAATCAGTCAATTTCAACTTCTCGTGGGAAAAAAAAAGATCTTGCAAAGTTGGAATTGATTGATTGAACTTTCCCAGCATTGGGCTCTTCTCCAGTGAGTCCTTCCTTCTCATTAGGTGGCCAAAGTATTTGAGTTTCAACTTCAGGATCTGGTCTTCTAAAGAGCAGTCAGGGTTGATCTCCTCTAGGACTGACCGGTTTGATCGCCTTGCAGTCCAGGGGACTCGCAGGAGTCTTCTCCAGCACCATAGTTCTATTTGTATTCTACTGCCCTGAAAAAAGTCAGAAGTTACTACTTTTTTCTTTCTTACTTCTGCATTCTTCTCTTCTCTTTTCTCAGAAATTTACTTAATTTTTGTTTTTATTTTTATTTTATCCTACAATAAACTCTAATGAAAGGTGTTGTTGTTGTTTTTTGTTTAAAAAAACGCACTCCAAAGATCAGCAGTGAGGATTTTCAGTTTTCCTCAGGCAGGCTTCCTTCAATTTCAAACTAATTTCTGTTCAGAAATTTAGTATATTGCTTATGTTGATTTGAAGCTGACTTGTCCTATTTAACTCAGCATCCTCCGGAAATGTACTGTAGGAAAAGTGCAAATATATAACTGAAGGATCGAACATGCTAAGTAGAAAGCAGGAGCTTTTTCTTTCAATAAGAATGGAACGGTTGAGTGTAGCGAGGAGAGAAAAGAAAAGATGTAAAGAGATTTCAGGCAGAGCAGAAGGAAGCAATGCTACCCACTGGAAGACCCAGTGCATTCATAAAGCAATGAGTTGCTTGCCAAGTCTATCTGGCTGGTTGCTAGTTAATAGAGACTGTAATTGGATCTCCCCAAATGTGTTCATGCCCATTTTGAAGAATTGCTCGTGACAGTTGATCTGCATTGCAAGAATACCTCCAGGATAAGATCCTTCCTGTTCCACAGGATCAGACAGAGTGCTGGCAGCAGTGAAGATAAAACCACTAGTAGTATTGGAAGAACGTGTTTGGTTGATGAACTCAGAGAAGGAATTTCCACCTCAGTTTCTCTATTAATAGAACTGACAGTGCATGTATGGGTTCGTTGCTTCTCATGGGCACCACAGTGGACTGTGATCTATAGATAAGAGCTTGACCATTCAAATTAATTGAATAGGTAATTCCTGATCAGTGACCATAATAAAGACAGGGGGGGTGGAATCAGACTACTTAAAACATTTGTTCTTAACCACATTATTGAAATATCTTTGGCATATTAGCTTAGGTTAGACTGCAGTGAGAATCTGTTTATTAAAAAATCGTTACGTTTCTTACTACCATCATAATGACCATTACATAAAGTTAATTCCAAGCAAACCAGAAAGAGACAATGGGGAACGATGATTTTTTAGCCACAAGAGGGAGCGTTTGTTCTGCAGATCAAGAGCTTTAAGAACTCCCTTTAGTGTCAGCTTTTCATTATTGGTTTGGGGTCATTTTTTTAAAAAAAGAATAGATTTTTGTATACCAATGTAACAATGCTTAGATGTTTTCAGTGTCTATGCTCAAAACATCCAAAAACAGCCATTGCTTCATTTAATATTGCAAGTGGAGACAGCTGGCTGGCTTATCCCGTGTGCACACATGAGATATCCACAGCCTCCTTTGCCAGCTTGTTTTATTCTTGGCCAGGGATAATGCTAGAATGGTCAACCGCTCTGCCAGTATTCTTGGCACTGGAAAGAAATCCCTAAGTAGAACAGAAAGTGATTTAGAAAAACACATGATTGAAACTAGTGAACGGAGATTTAAAGCTATTAAGCTCAAGGAAGGGTTTTTTTTTTGCATACAGGAGATGCAATTGAAGCAAGAAGCAAAAGCTTCAAGATGAGAAGCAATGATGTAGGGAATAGTTTCACTGGATTCAGATCAGCAGCTAGCCTTGTGTTTTTTTTACACAGGCCACTTCCAATTAAATATCTGAGAATTGGGCTACAGAAACAGAGAACCAAGTTCTTCCACTTAAGTTATTTGGGGTTTACACAATCCATTTGTTTGAAATGTTAAAGCAACAGGTTGCTTGCTTGCTTGCTGAAAGGAAAGTTGACGATGAGAGGCTGGCCACCCAGGAGTAATTGCTTCATCCCAGAAGGCTGGAGACAAGAGAATGAAAGCTGTCTTTGCTCCATTGGATTGTGCTCGTTTTCTCACATCTCTGGAACACAGCAGTATCCCAGGGCTGATTGTTGCAAAGCAGAACAAAAAAAATATTGTCTTCAGAATTCAACTTTCTCCATCAAAAATGGGGCATACCAAATCTGCACAGTCCTTTTTCTGAGAATGAATTATTGCCGCATGGCTGAATTAAGGTCAAGGACATTAATAGGTGGAAGCCAGGGTGAACCCTTAATTGAAAAAGGAGAATGGCTGCAGGACTTGGGTTTGGCCAGTCTAAAGAAAAGAAGAAACAGGGGCAACATAATAGCAGTATTCCAGTATTTGAGAGGCTGCCACAAAGAAGAGGGGGTCAAACTATTCTCCAAAGCACCAGACGGCAGAACAAGAAACAATGATTGGAAACTGATCAAGGAGAGAAGCAACCTGGAATAAGGAGAAAGTTCATAGCAGTGAGGACAATTAACCAGTGGAACAGCTTGCCTTCAGAAATCGTGGGTGCTCCATCCCTGGAGGTTTTTAAGAAGAAACTTGACTTGTCTGAGATGGTATAGTTTCTCCTGCTTGAGAGGGGGCTGGACTAGAAGACCTCCAAGGTTCCTTCCAGCTCTATTCTATTCTATTCTATTCTATTCTATTCTATTCTATTCTAAACTTTCTTGTCCTAAATCTTTCAGGCCTTATTACTGAGCATCAATTTTCCACTGATGCTCAGGGTCTTAGATTGTTCTTGGCAATGGTTTTGCATCACCCCCTAACCTGCATCCATCATAATTACCTTTGGAGGGTTACCAGGTTGGAGAAGGATACTGTAGCAGAGATAGTTGACCTTTTGATCCATGGGATTCCAAGTCCTAATAGTCTCCCAAAAGAAATATACTGCATCTTTTTTCCTATTATTGCTAAAAGACAAAAATGAACTTTGTATAAAGCATCTCTCATGAGGAAGCGCCAATTATTATTATTTTTAATTCATAGATATTTATATTTTGGTCTGTTTAATAACTTGGATTTTAAATCCTGTGCTTTCAGTTCAATAGAGCTCCATCAACAGAAGAAATCGTATTTCAATTCTTCCTAATTCTGACTGTCTGAAACAGAACAAGTCCATTTGGAATTAGTCCTTTATGTAGATTTGATTTCCCCACAATGCTCCTAATATTACCAGTTAGACACCTACAGAGCAAAGAATCTGCTGTTTTCAGCCTATAAAGCCTATAAAGGAGCTGTGGCGTTGCAGTGGTTGGAATGCCGTATTGCAAGCTAACTCTGCAATGAGCTAACTCTGCTCATTGCCAGAAGTTCGATCTTGATTGCGTCAAGGTAGACTCAGCCTTCCATCCTTTTGAGGCTGGTGAAATGAGGACCCATATTGTTGGGGGCAATATGCTAACATTTGTAAACCACTGAAAACACTGGGGCGGTAAAAAAAAAAAGTCTAAGTGCTTTTGCTATTGCTATTAAAAATAATCCTTTATTTTTTCCAGGTTTAATCCAGAGCATAATTGCTTCTGCGAGAGATCAAAAATACGTTTATTCCCCTGGAATATCATCTGAAAAAAAATTGCATATCTCTTGACAGTGCTGAACTTGGATCTCTTATTCAAGGATTGTATCTTGCCTGCATTTCCTACTCTAAGTTACATAAGTTCTACAATAATTTTATTCATAATATGGATGAATTTGAAAACCTGTAAAAAGATAAGAATTACACAAAAACACACTTGCTTTATTTGTTGTTAGTTGCGAAGTTGTGTCTGACCCATCGCGACCCCATGGACAACGTTCCTCCAGGCCTTCCTGTCCTCTACCATCTTCTGGAGTCCATTTAAGCTCTCGCCTACTGCTTCAGTGACTCCATCCAGCCACCTCATTCTCTGTCGTCCCCTTCTTCTACTGCCCTCAATCTTTCCCAGCATTAGGCTCTTCTCCAGTGAGTCCTTCCTTCTCATTAGGTGGCCAAAGTACTTGCTTTATAGCTAGTATCAAAAGGCAATACAAGTGATTCTCCTTTAGCAACTATCTTATATAGCAACCATTCACAATTACAATAGTGACGAAAAAGTAACTTTACTACCCATCCTTGCAGGTTTGCAAACCAAAGGAAAACTGAAGTAAACGTGTAAGCACAGTTGTAGTTTCATTTAGTGACCATTTCATTTAATGACAAAGTTGCCGGTCTCAGTTATGGTCACCAAAACAAGGACTACTTTTAGGAAACTACATAAAACAATTGAGTTTGTTAAGGAATAGTAAATAGAAAACTG